TCAAATTCCTGACCCACCAGTTCTGTGAATCCTGTTTAAGCCTTGTCCTCCCAACTGCTCCCCTACCTGGTTCTTATGTTCAGATGTCATCTTTACCTCTGGACATGCTGTCCTGTCTGCCCAGAAAGTGCTCTGTCCCCAAACCCCACTGCTTGGCTAGCTCCTGCTCACCCTTCAAGACCCTGTGTGTCCTTCATTCCCTCCAGACAGCATCCCTGGCCCCTCTCAGAGCTGGACGTGGCTCTTCTCCAGGCCTGTGAACTGTCCTGTGTGCCCCATGTCCACGGGTGTAACCCGGCACACACTCATTCACCTGCCTGATGCTGCTGAACTGTAACTCTGGAGATAGGAGCACATCCATCTTGTTCCTGTGTGCCCCCGATGCCTGGCAAATCGCCTACTCATAATGGAGGCTTGATAAATATTGAAAGAATGAACACATGAGTAATTTACAGTAAACTAAAATATTTTTATGACTGCCTTCTAACACCTTCAAGTTCAAAATAAAATACTTAAGGGAGTAACATCTAGTGAAGTATTTTTAATCTGAGATAATTACAAAGTCAATCAGAATATACCCACTCCTAATTTAAGTCAAGTTTGTTCTACTCATTTAATGGAGTTGGCTAAATAGAAACTCAAATAAGTGCTTGTTAATTACACTAATTAATAGATGGCTGTATTAAAATATATGAGCTATGGAAGACCTAGTTAAAACCTGAAGTGATTATGTGTATGTAGTAAGCACAATAGTAAGTGAGGCGGTTTCTGAATGTTTTGTTGCTTTGGTTAATTTGGGAGTTCCTCTGAGTGTTCAAGATCCCTGATGCAGCAACTTTGGGGAAGGTGGGTGGGGATGAAGGAATGCCGCGTCTCTGGAGGTTTTGTATTCTCCACTTAGCAATGAACAACTAAGAAGTCTGACAGCTAGCGCAAAAACAAGATATCACCCTACCACATAAGAATCTATTGGTGCATCTCCCAGATGTATGAAGAAAAGCAGATGTCACCTTTACTTTATACATCTATACTTTATGTATTTTAATTCATAAAGAAGTTTATTTGCTCTATATGTTATCAGTGTATTTATTTTAATAATCCTAGAATCTGTATTTTTGGCTCAAAGGTTGCTTCCTTAAACTTTCCTCAAATTGCCTGACTAGGTTAAATAGTAGTCCTTTTCAAAACCATTAGAATTTTACATTTTGGGAAACAATTTGTGTAATCTGTCAAATTTCTCATAAACTCTAGAACTCAAACTCTCTGAGAACAGGCACTGTATCTGGTTTTGCTCCTACCATGCTCCCAGGGCTTTGTACAGAGCCATAAACAGTACTTTAAAAGACAGAGAGCTGCTAGGAAAATGATCATAGAAGCCAGGGGCATTTGTTGGCCCTGAAAAGTGACACGAGCAGAAGTCACCTCGTACAAGGTAGGAAGTCTAACACAGATGCTCCTTACAATAAAGTGATACCCAATGGCTATACAGTGAGAATGACTGGAAAAGAACCATCCCTTATAAGGACCTTCAGTCTGGGATTAATCTGGTTTTTTTGGAGAACTTCAAGGCATGATTTGATTAACAGTGTAAATAGCAAAAGCAAAAAAAAAAGGTCTTGTATTATTTATACAAATAATTTTTCTAGTATGACCAACATATGAATATAATCACAAGGAAACATAGTATCATGAACATAAACCAGCAGAAACAACAGACAATAGAAATAGACCCACAGCAACTGTAGGTGTTAAGTTTATCAGAAAGTACAATATGCTTTGAATTTGGAAATATACTTCTTCACTGTTCCATGATAGGAATTGGAATGTACTTTGAGATTAAAAAAATCAAAATATTATATACCAAAATTTATGGTAAAATGATGCAGCCACTTTGAAAAATAGTTTGGGAGTTTCTCAAAAAGCTAAACATAATGGGCCGGGGATTTAGCTCAGTGGTTCCGCCGTCTGCCTTGCAAGCACAAGGACCTGAGTTTGATCCCCAGTACCAAAAAAAAAAAAAGTTAAACATAAGAGTTACCTTCTGACCCAACAATTCCACTCTTACGAATATACCTAAGTGAACTGGAAACCCATTCACACACACATTTTTAGTAGCATTATTCATATTAGCAAAAGAGTAAACAATTCAAATAACCATGAAATAATGAATGGATAAACAAAAGGTAGTATATCTGTGCAATAGATATTATTTAGCCATAAAAAGAAATTAAGAACTGATATTGTTACATCACAGATGAACCTCAAAATCGCTTCTCGGCCTTTTGGCTAAGATCAAGTGCAGATGAACCTCAAAATATTAAGTTAAATGAAAGAAGTCAAATACAAAAGGCCACATGATTCCATTTATATGAAATATCCAAAGTAGATAAAGTGATGGAGAGAGTAAATTTGTGGTAGCCAGGAGGGCAAAATGGAAAGTGGCTCTAACAGCTATCAGGTGTCATTTGTGGTGATGAAAATGTTTTGTACACAGACAGTGGTGATGGCAGATCAACCTTATGAATATACTGTACTAAACCCCACCAAATTGTACATCATAAAGGGTAAACTTCATGGTATATGGATTACATCTCAATTTTTAAATATGTTGTGGGATATACCCATGTAAAAGAAAACATAGTTTTAAATTAATATATTAAACTATTCTTCCTAGTTTGCTAATAAAATATGCTCTAGTTAACTTTTCATTGTTACTAGTAAGAATTCTATATTGATTTGCTTATTCTTCTCACTAGTAAAGATATGCTTAAAATATCTGCAAGAAACATGGAGCTATGAAAATATAGCAGGTTCTTTTGGAATTGTAAATTTTTAAACATTTTAAATTTTATTTTATCCCATTCCCCCCTCAAGCCCCCTCCCCTCCCTGCATACAAAAGCTTTGTTTCCATTTGAAAATATAGCACACATTTTAAAAGAACATAGAATTCTAGAAATAAAAAAATAAAAACCCAACAGAATGACTTAATTATAGACTAGACATAGCTGGAGAGAGAACTGGTCAACAGGAAGGTAGGCTGGAAAACAATGGTCCTTATTCTGGTGACATGTTGAAGTACTTGGTGGCGAAGTGTCATGATGTCTGCCACTTAACTTTCAAATGACTCAGGGAAATATGTTTGGATCTACAGAATGTGTATGCAGACAGAAACATGTTTAGCTAGGGAGGCAAAGCAAATGTGGAAAGATGTTAATAACCGGTGAATCTGGGGAAACGGCACATGGGTGTTTGATGTCTACCGCACACTCTTGGCTCACCACATTGCTGAGCTCCTCCCTCAGTGGTGGCTTGCCTTCGCCCCATCACTGGCTCCTCCATTACTTGCTCATCTCATAGGCTGTAAAGGCCCAGGGCTCAGGCCTTAGCTTCCCTCCGTGATCATGCTCACTCCTGTGGTGATTTAATTCAGTCACAGGACTTCAGTGAGAAGATACAAACTCCCAGCCTCCGCTCCAATCTAGACCTCTGTCTCAAACTCAAGGGTCACACTAGGTGTATAACTAACATCTCCACTTGGTTATCTAATGCACACCTGCAATTTAACAAATCCCAAAACGAACTTAAAATTTTCTCTACCTGCATCCTTCCTCAACTCAGTTGATGGCAACTTCATCTTAAATTTCAGTTGCTTGGTCCAGAACCTTGAATTCATCCTTGAGTCTTCGCTTTCATATATTTTTAAAATCCACCAGTGAACCTCTAAACTAACTCCTGTTACTTTCCTCTACCATGCCTCTCCTGCTCTGAGCCACCATTAGCTCTTACCTGTAACAGCTTTCTAAGCAGCTTACCTGCCTCATCCCATGCTCCTGTACCACACTTCCCCTACCAAAGCCAGAGTGACCATTTAGAATCTATGAACAGCATGTCATTCGGTACCCAAATCACTGTAATTTTTATTTCAGAGTAGAAGTCCAAATCTCTAACAATGGTCTTCAAGAATCTCTATCCTTTGGCACTACACCCTCCTCTTTGGTTCATTACCTCAAATCTACTACTGTCCCTCTTCACTCCAGCCACACTGGCCTCCCTGCCATTTCTCAAAAATGTCAAATGTCCTCTTTCTGTTTCAGGGCTGCACTGACAGTTCCCTCCAGCTCCCAAACAAGACTGCATGATGAAAACCAGTTTCAGTTTGTCTGGGAGAAAGACTCAGGCATCACTCTATTTAAAATTGTTCCACATTTCTTCAAAATAATCAGGATTATTTTAGCCCTGAGTTGGTTA